ACATTTTGCTGGTTTCTAAGTGAAATCAACATCCTTGCCGTCACGCGTTAACGTGAAATCAACATATAAACCTATTTAGACCTGAAATCAACATCAATGAGCTTCTACGTTGCATGAAATTGACATTTTGCTGGTTTCTAAGTGAAATCAACCTCCTTGCCCTCGCGTGTTAACATGAAATCAACATTTAAACCTTTTTTAACCTAAAATCAACATTTTTGAGCTTATATGTTGCATGAAATTGACATTTTGCTGCTGTCTAAGTGAAATCAAAGTCCTTGCAGTCACGGCGGGCCGATCCTTTGTTATGATAAACCGAGGCGAGACTTCGACTTGTAACAAAAGCTTGGCTTGGTTATAACAAAGGATCGGCTCTGTTTATCATAACAATGGCCCGGCTTCGTTTATTTGAAGGTCTCGGCGGGAAAAGGGCGTTAGGTATTTTAATCAAAAGTGAACTTTGTCAAAAACGCCCCAAATTTCGCATGCAGTTTTGTTTAGGTATGTTTAGCAATGTCCCGAAGTTTTTGTGTTAAGCTTCGCTTTGTTTTCGAGATATTGCGTATGCAAAAAGACCACTCGGTTTTCCTAGCTGCGTCTTTATAACCGAAGCAAAAACCAGTGGGAAAAATACAGGACCATGTTTTTCTATTACATTGAAGACCACATGCAAAAATTCAAGCCCTTTCGCGAATTTTTTTTTTTTTCACCCAAATCGTCACTTAGCACGGTTTTGCACTCACCCCTTCAATTATGAATTTATGTAAAAGACATGCTTTGCCACTCATGTGCCCAGCTGTTTCTTCTTGGGAAGGAACGTAGATCTGGCTTTAGAGAGTGGTGGAAATCAAGCCTACCAGACAATTTCCTTGAACATTCTTGTGATCCTAATATTGTTTATTTTTTTATAAAAAGAAACATTAGGCAGTTGATCACTGTTTTGGGCTGAGATAGTTGATTGAATTGTATTACTTTTAAATTCATTTTTCTTATATTTTTACGGTGATCTTAATCTCAAATTGTAAAGGGTTTCAGACTATTTTATAATTTTAGCACTATGTAAATCTAATCTTATTATTAGTATTATTATTATTGACAAAGAAAGAACTTCTTTTTCTCCAGCATATGAAGCTCCAGAAGAAGATGGCTAAGCGCGATCAAGCGGCCATGATTGCGGCTCAGCGTGATGGTGACATCTCCAAGGTGTGTCAGGTGCTAGAACTTCAGTCGTTGATGGACAACCTGTCAGAGGACGTGCGGGTGGACTTTTTGAATGGTACTAATGGAGCTGTGGTAAGTTATAT